TACAAAATAAACATATTTATAAATATAAACAAAATATTACTCTTAAGATAAACTAAAAACAAATGCTTAATAGAACATGGCTATGATCAACAATTTTGTGTATGCACTTTGTGAACTCCCATCATAAAATAGTAAACTTAATTTAATTTATCTACACAATCGATATTCAGTATGGAATCGACGTTGCGGTTATCAGAAGATTCTGAGATGAAGTTTTGAAGGAATTTTTGTCTATAGTCATTGTATGCTGGGCAGTGAAGGAGAATGTGATGTAGACTATTGTGGATAAATTGACTGCATAATATTCAAATTTCTTGAGACTCAATCGAAAAAGTTGTGGTTTTTGCATAAATTCTGATTTGTTCTGGGTTCGCAACTCTTAATTGACTGACACATCTCAATTTCTTTATGTGGACTTTGAATGTAAGATACGTTTCAGGATCGGGAGCATTGTAACTGCATAACATTCTGTATAAAGGTTAGTTAGTGGAGTTTAAAGTTCTTTATATGTCGGCTGAGAAATAATGGTTGTGTATTTTTTCAAGGATGTCGTCTTAGTATCGAAGAAGTACGTTTGTGAGGTGAACAGAAAGCTCTTCTGCAAAGGCATTAAGTTCGGCTATTGCTCTAAATTGAGACACCCAATTGAAATCTATGTCAGGCTTATCCTTATCTAATGTTTTAAGTCTATTAAAACATAGTTTTGGGAGTCACTCTTCTGGCATGAACTGGAGCTTGGTCCATAGATTTATCATCTTCATTCTTAATGGTTCTCTTCCTGTTTCGAGGCGGACTATGTAGTTTGGGGTATTTCTGGGCCAACCAAACAGTTGCTTTAAATATTTAAGTTGGACCATTTCGATTGCCTCAAAATAATTGGGGCTCCATATTTCAGAAGCACAAAGCAATGTTGATGAGACCATGGAGTCAAATAACAATTTTTTACTTTCCCAAGAGTCACTTTTCCCTTTTTTTAATATGTCTATGACTCTCGCAGATGCCACTGATGACTTCTGAGTAAAATGTTCACATGCTTGTTCAAATTTTCCTGACGTTGTGAAGGGAACTCCCAAATAAGTATACCTTTTTGTATAGTCCAATATACTGTCATGCCAATACAATGGTTTGAGCTGTTTAAGCCGTGGAGATTCGTGGTAAGAGTTTTAGATTTGTCTACATTTATTGTAAGAGAATTGTTGCTGCAATATTCTTGTAATATTTTGATATTCTTTTGCGCTCCATGCCAATTATTACTTAAAAGAATAATATCATCAGCTAGAAGGAGCATTGTTACCTCGTGTGAGGTATCTATGCTTACCCCTGCTCCTTTGTCATGAAAGTATTTAACTATGTCGGAGATAAACAACAAAAACAAGGTTGGGCTCAGACTTTCACCTTGTAAAAGTCCTAAGGTGATGTCAATATCATCCGAATGTTGACCATTAACTGAAATTTGGGTTGAGGCATTGTCGTACAGCATTTTAATAATTTTTATGATTTTTCCTCCAACTCCTAAGGTAATAAGCTTTCTCCAAAGAAGTCCATGATTAATTGAATCGAAAGCTTTTTTGAGGTCGATGAAGGTGGCATATAGATATCTTACTTCTGTCTTAAACGTTATTCCGATTAGCGCTGAAATGGTGAAGATATAATCAATGCAGCCTCTTCCGATCCTGAATCCTGCTTGTTCTTCGGGTATTAGATTCTGAGAGTCCGCATTTGTTGTTTTTAGAAAGATTAATACAAAGCTGCAGTTCCTCTTGTGTTAAATTCGCTTCCAGAATTGAGTTGGTGGTGGGAATGAATTCTAAACTCCGAATGGTCTTCTGTCCATAATGTGTCCTATAGAATTTGCTCCATTCCTCCATGGTTACTGCATTTTCATTTGGTTTGTATGGTTTCAAGGAATTGACGGTTTTCCAAAACTGTTTGCTATTTTTTATATCCTGCAAATTTTTTATAATTTGAAATCTTTTTTTTTTTATTGAGAAAAAAAAATACATTTTGCCTCAATTAAAGGCATTGAGTATTTATGATGAATGAAGTACAATAATACCATATATACAATAAAAGAACAACAAGATTATAAGAAAATAAAATAAAATAAAACTTGGAGTAACAGAATAAATCAAACTGATATAACATTAAATAAAAACTAAAATAAAAAAATAAAAACACATTCAAACTTATTTACAATATTTACAGTCAGCCGAGGGAGCACCGAGTCGGGCCTTTCCCCCCACGTGTGGAGGACAAGGCAAGACTCCAAGAGATCCCAGCGCTTCTCTCTCAGCCGCATCACTAGGATGGGAATCCAGTGGAGACTGAGAGAGGGCACTAAAGCCACATACGCTCATGACTTGAGTGGAGAAGTTGGCCATTGCCAGGACTCCAATGACGTCTTTACAAAAGATCTCGAGGCCACTGCCGCTTCAACCTTCGAGGAGGATTGTAGGGATGACTGGAACTAGATAAGGATTGTGCTAATGGATTAGGATGATAGGTTATGTTCTGATGAAAATTTGAAAAACTGGATGGAATAACGTCAAGGACATATGGGATGTTAAGGTCATGATGTAAGATTTTGTTCGTAACATAATAAGGAGCATTGACTATTATACGGAGGATTTTAGACTGGAAGGATTGGATGCGTTTGATGTTCGATAATTTAGTTGTCCCCCACAGTTCAAGTCCGTAGGTCCAGATGGGTTTCAGTATGGTCTTGTATATTAATAGTTTGTTTTCAATTGAGAGGTTAGATTTTCTGTTAAGTAGTCTGTATAACTGGCCAAGTCGTCGGTTAATCTCTTGTCTTTTAAGTCTGGTATGTGGGTTCCATGTTAGTCTTTTGTCTAAAAGGAAGCCAAGATACCGAACTGTGTCTGAGATGGGAAGACGTACTGAGTTGAAAAGGATATGTGGACAGGATCTGCGTCGGAGGGTAAAGGTGACATGCTTGCATTTGGATTCATTGATCTTGATACGCCAATTGTTGCACCATTGCTCTATTAGGGAGATGTGTCTTTGAAGGTTTAGGGATGCTGTTTCACTGTCTGGGTGGGAAGATAGGATGGCGGTATCGTCAGCAAATGTTGCTAGAAGGGTATTAGGATGGGTTGGAATGTCAGCTGTGAAAAGGATGTAGAGAACTGGGCCCAAGACACTGCCTTGTGGAACACCAGCCTCAACTGGATAATAATTGGAGAATTCAGTGCCGCAGCGGACTTGAAAGGAACGATTTGAGAGGTTGGATTTGAGGACTAGATACAAGGATTGGGGTAAGTGAGTTTTGAGCTTGAAAAGCAAGCCATCATGCCACACCCGGTCGAAAGCTTGCGCTACGTCCAGAAAGGCACTAGTGCAATATTGCTTGTTTTCAAGCGCAGAGGATATATGGTCAACAACGCGGAGGCCTTGTTGAACAGTAGAATGTCTTGAGCGGAAACCAAACTAATGGGAGGGGATATTGTGGGTTTCGAGAATGGGTAGGATACGTTTGAGAAGGATTTTTCAAAGATTTTCGAGAGGATCGGAAGTAAGCTTATTGGTCTATAGGATGAGGTATTATTAACAGGTTTACCTGGTTTAGGGAAGAGGATAATAATGGAGTGTTTCCATATGAGAGGAAAGTGAGTTGTGCGGAGGGTACAGTTATACAGGTATGTGAGGAACATGATTGCTTTTTTGGGAAGTTGTCTAAGGATCTGAGAAGTAAGGGGATCGTGTCCAGGGGATTTTCGAGGTTTCAGGTTGTTTATATGGAATTTGACCTCAGAGGGGTTGACAGCTTTAGGAGGCAGGGAGGAATCGGAGAAGAGAGGAGTTCTGTAACTTCAGCAGTGTGGGTGGGATGGAGTTCGGTGTGGGGAGTGAATGTTTTGGATAGATGTTTGGCAAATTCTTCAGCTCTAGTCTCATCTGACGAAGCCCAGGTTCCATCATCTCGTCGGAGTGGGTGGGAAATAGATTGGTATTTAAGGATTTTTTTGGTCACTTTCCAGAGGGAGTTGTCATCGGTAGAGAGGGAAGAAAGATAGGAATTGTAGGATTGGGATCTAAAGGTCGTCAGTTCTTTTTTAACCTGTTTAGAATAAATTTGAAATCTAAATTATTTTTTTTCTTGTTCCTCATTAATGTTCTATAGAAATTCCTTGTTTGGATGTAGTCTTGTAACACTTGAGGAGGAAAATTGAATTTAATTAATGCTCTATATTTTCTTCTAACTTCCCTTTTCAGATTATTGCACTCTGAGTCAAACCAGGGTTGATTAGGCTGAAACATTATATTCTTCGGTGTTTTTTTGATCACGAGCATGCCGACAGAAGACATATTCTCCTGCAAGCATTCAACGAAATTCTTATAGAGCTGGTTTACATCATGCGAATTATAGTAAATTTTGTCACTGCAAGCTAAATTTGTTTTGAATAATATGC